CCAGTTACATTTTTTTTATTATTATTATTATTATTATTATTATTATTATTATTATTATTATTATAAATAGCAACAGATGTTGTTTAGATGGGCCTTATTTAAACTGAACAAATCAATACTTTAAATCACGTTTTTCTCAACCTTAGCGATTTTAAGATATGTGGATTTCAACTCCCAGAATTCCCCAGCGAACCATAGTTGAAGCCCACATATCTTAAAGTTGCCAAGGTTGAGAAACACTGCTTTAGACAGATGCTTTGATACAGGTAATTTATACTGCATGTAGCATTTTAATATAATCTTCAAAGTGTACTTTTTGGATGTTATTTTCAGGAAACTCCCTTGGTTTTCACTTTAGAAGCTTCAATTGTTTGTGAAAGAATGAGGTTTTATTTCCCATATTTAAGTTTGTACCAGTAAAGCTACTAGTTTAAAAGTATCAATGTGACATAAAAAGCTCACTAGGAATTGCTGGCATACTTAAAACATTTTCTTACCTCTTGCTGTCGGACAAGAAACGAGTCGATAAAACTCCTCTGGTCATTTTTATCCAAAGCTTTGAGGTGTTCTATGAAAGTGGCCTGTATGAAAGCATGCAGCTCCTTTCTGTTATTCAGGACTCTGTTCCGAGCACCAAAAAGGAAGCCGAACATGGGGAACATATTATAGAGCTGAAAAATACAGAAGGATAAAAAGAGTTATGAAGAAACCCCCAATACCTTTCAAGACCTTTTCATGTGGATCATGCAAAGCATTTTTATTAAAACTGTTCATATTCCACAGTGGGAAAAGGTTGTTTTGCATGCATAAGCCATCAGTTTTTATCTGTCATAGTGAATCTTGAAACACATGGAATACTTATCGCAAATCTTACACTACATTGAAGGTTACACAGTGAACACATAGTGAACTCTTTTCAAAATGGAAAAATAATTACCAAGACAGAAGGGCTTCCTGCAAGCTGAACGTTTTCATTGACTAACTTTAATAGTCTTTGAAATGTGGGGTCTTCATACTCATATCGCTTGCCAAGTAGAATGGACACTATGATATTGCCAACAGCGGAATTCATAATGGCTGTATTCTCAAATGGTTGTCCTATATAGCAAATATTAAAATTAAACAAAGCCATTAAAATGAATTGCAACTGTGAAAGAACACCAGTTTTTAAGGGCTCTTTACTGCCCTAAGACTCCAAATCCTTTCCACCTACACCCACAGCACATTTCTCTAGGAAACCGATAGCCAGTGCCGGAGACCATGGAGATATTGGGCAAGGAAATCTTAAATGGGAGTTGAGTGTGTGAGGAACTTCATGGGTAGCTCTAGAGACTATTGACTTTTCCACAGCAAGTCCCTGGAGATCCAGCTCGAGGTTCTGATTTCCATCAGATGGAAACATTAACCCACCTTCATGAGATTGAAATGTCTTTATCAGGAAGCTGCACTCTTCAATTATTTTATCCTCTATAGTTCTCTTGCCCATTCCATAGTCCCGTAATGCAGATAATGTAAACCGCCGCATCACTTTCCAGTTCTCCCCATGAGAAAAAAGGATACCTAAAGAGAAGGTGCAGAACCGAAAGGCATATTTGCACTACTGAAAATGTCTACCATTATAATGAAGAGAATGTATGTGGAAGTTGTTTTAGCACTATACAGAATCAGGAAGCCAGTGTGGGAAATGCACGTGAAATTTCGTGGGAATCTTTTCTGTAACTCAGAAAATTGCAAACATTCCATCATTTACAAACTCTGCCTCTCCATCTATCCAGCTTGGAGACCAAATTGTCCAGGGGTGGTTGATTACCTTATGGGAAATCAGGAGAAATATAGCTTGAAACATTACAGAATTGACTTCAATTATCTTTCTCTCCTCTTCAATCCTATCATATGGCAGGCAGGATCTTAGTTTCTATCTCGTCTCCTATGTTCTCCAGCCCCATTCTTCTATGTCATCTCCCAATATTTAGAGCGAAAGAAACGTACCGAAGCCCTCTGCAATTTCGTCAGAAAGCTGGATATGTGGCCTCTCTGCAAATGCATCAGCTTGATTCACCAGAGCTTCCTTTACTGTGTTGTACCCAGTCAGTACCACCATTTTCTGGAATCCCATTTGAATCCTGAAGATTGGGCCATATACTTTTGACAACTAGAATTGAACACAAGGGAAAAAAAAGAAAAGAAAGAAGTCGTTCTGATCACCATGTAAACCCCTTTATGCACAATAACAAACCTAGATGCCAATCATGTTTCATAGACCTAAGAGTAAAATCATGCTCTTTCTCTTATTGTCTGAAAGCACATTGTGATGCTGCACTTGCTGTTCAGGGACCAGAAACTAAAGACCTGCTGGAACCTGGTAAAGATGGCAGAATTGCCTGAGGGAGGCATCTTTGTTGAAAGCAGAGCGGGAAGTGGCAAAAATGCATTGATCCCAAAGGAACTCACACCCTAACCCTACCCTACACAAAGTTGGGGCAAGGAGCCCAGCAGGAGTTGAAGAGGGAAGCTGGGGAGAATGGTGGAGAACATGAGCACAATGGAGGTATAGGGAGAGGTAATCTTTCTGAGATTATGTAATCTTCCAGATATTCTTAATTGCCAGATGACAGAACTTGAGAGCTTTATATAAAACGTATTTAATAGCAGGAACTATTTCATTCAATTCTCAACTCATGTCTTTCCGAGAAAATGCAGTTAATTGATATTTTGAAATAGCAATTCATCTGTAATCAACAGTTTGCATATTTTTCCAGAACAAAACATATTCTGTATTCCTAAGTGTGTATAAGTTTGCAAACTGAAACTAGGACAAGTAATTGCATGTACTGAAAATGCATGTTCAATGTTAAAAGCTTTGTTTTGTTCATAAACCTCCCCATTCAGAGATTTTTTATTGTAAGGTGAAAGAGGTATGTGTATTTGAGAGTGATGTGGATTCAATTTATGCCTTTGTGGTTCTCTTCAACTACCATAGCTCAGTTGTGGAATTATAAATAGAGCTACTGGGGCAATAAAAATCCAGATGAGTTCATTTTCTGTATCTCTTTGCTTCCATCTAATGGTCTTCTGGTACCCCAGATCATAAGAAGAGGGAAAACAAAACACTATATCAATTCCTGTTTGAATTCTCGTGATTTCTATTATCAACACATCAAGCATCTCTAGTTTTGGAAGTGAACTTCCTTTTATGTAGGTAAGAGAATAACTTATCTAAACGGAGAGTAGGATTGGAATCAAATGATCTTCTAATCCCTGGAGAACCATTGTTCTTGGTGCTCTCCCAAAAACTGCAATGTTAGCACAAGCCCAAATGCATCAGCAGCCATCACGGTTAGCATTCCACCTTTCAGTCTGAAAGGAAATTTTCCATATGGCCCATAATGGGAAGAGCAAAAGCCACTTGCTTCCTACAAAGTAAGGTTTACTGATGTAATTGTAACTGGTGACCTCAATGCAAGGGTGGACTCTAATGAGAGAACCCGCTTCTTCTCATGTTCCAGATTCAGATATACGTTTCCCTTCACTTACTCAGCAATTCAGGGATGAAATAAAGAATTTTTATATAAAATTTTTATCCCTCGAATGGATCGATCAGCAGGAGTGCTATGCTGTGCTCCATCAGCTCCATAACACCTCAATTCCTTGCACTCTCCTGAGCTTGTGGCATTCTTAATGGACATGATGAGACCTTCCAGCCGAATTGCTGTGGAAAAGTCCTTTGCCAAGAACCAACACAGATACACTAAAAAGAAGGCAGCTGGATATTTGTTGCAGTGCATTTGTTCATTTCTAATGGCCATAAAAATTGTTGGGATAAAATGCTTCCTATCCATTCCCTCCCAGAGATCTCTGCTTCGACATCATGGTATTCCTAAGGTAGGGCACCAAGTAGATGTTGACACAATATAAGGCAGTGGAGTGAGAGCCCTATTCTACCCCCTCTTGCAATCCCCCAATATTGACCTGAGGGAAATATACATTAATCCTGCCCCCCCCCCCCACTCTGAAAACAACTAAAAACCTCTCAATTTATCTGCCCCTTGAAGGATTATGTCCACAAAAGGCCTAACTAATCCTGCCAAGATCTTGCAGTTCTGCACATAACATAGCACGGTTACAATGACTGTTAAACAACAAAATAAAATCAGAACAGCTCCAAACTCTCTTGACCCATTTTGTTGACATTTGGTAGTATTCAAGAAATGTCTAGTTGTTTTAATTGCTTTCAGTCACCATTTCAGTGTGTTACCTTTAACATTGTTCTGTGGGGCCTTTTCAGATCCATAATGTGGAGATTTCCAAGGAGGGGTAAAATTCTTGGTCCTGGTGGAAGATTTGGGGAGTTGTTATTCCAGGAACTGCTCATTTTCAAAATGAACACAGTCAGAAGAATAAAGAGGAGTGATATGGAAACAAGTCCAGTCCAATCCATTTCCTTTCAGAAAATCGTTTCTGTAGTACTTAAAATGAAAAATGCAATATAATTTGATCAAGGAAAGTTCTTGTACAATGACCTGCATAGAAATCTAAAAGTGTTGCATTACCCTAGACACAGCTTAAATATGTTTCCAGTGAATCATTACCTTGCCTAACATAATGAGCTATCTTCCTGCTTTGTTTTGATTTGTTTTACTTTTCTTCAATATGATTACTTAATAATTGAGGTGGGTGGTATCTACATACTTCCCCAAATAAAAAAGTTTGCCTACAGTCATTTGGGTCATAGGCAAACCAACATCCTGGACTAGTGACAACATTCAGTTATAATTAATCTTGCTGAGTAAAGGGAGCATTGTGAAATTCAGTTGGGTAATTATTGAACTGCAGCTTGCGAGAGATTTTTGAAAGTACATTAACACTTATTTTGAGCCAAATAAGTTTTCATGATGGAATTGCACTTTGTTTGTGGAATACCATGTTCTGGATTATATAGCAAATAGATTATATAGTGAATCCTCCTTTCAATTTTCCTCTGCTTCTATCATGTCCTCTACTTCCTTACTCAGGTAACATGGCAGTTCTCCTAACCCTGCATTCTCAGCTCTTCTCTTCCTCCAATAAGAGAAGCCACCAAACAATCTAATGGGATGCAAGCACCAATCTTAATGACAGTCTTGGAGGCTCTTTTTGGTCTGCCTGTGTATCATGTCCACAGTCCCAAGGCTTCAGCCTCTTGGCCCAGCCAATTGGCCAAGCCACGGTTTTACTTCTCCAGCCATATTGGATAAAGCATTTGCCTTTCTTCTCCAGGAGTAGCACAACCTGCAAAGGCATCACTTGTCTACCAGCTGCTGAGTTTGGCTTTCAGATGGATCTCAACCCCAGTTCCAGCTATCTCCAAAATTGAATGGTAGGATTCTATTAACGTCAAGCTGTTGCTTTCTCCCCCTCCTTTTTCCCTACTACCGATAATTTTCAGTATCATGAGGACTCTTGGTACCATCCTCTTGGCTACATGGCAGCATCTCTTCCTGATCTGCTTTATCTCTTTGCAGGGATGATTATGAAGTCACCCAGACTGTTAGTACTGAGCAGTTTTAACCTTTGTCTTTGAACTTGAAGAATTGGACTTAGGAATTCATGACCACCATGACAACAATGACTTAGTCCCAGCATATAGTCCCTGGCCGAACCCAATCACACTAGATTGGCCTTTATCCTTGGAGTAATGTTATGTAATTTGGTTCTGGGGAATGTTTTCACCATTTCTTTCTCATAGACAGATCACTTCCTCATTATGGGGTCAAGCAGAACTGCCAAATTCTGCAGGAAGGGTGTGTCGGTTATGATGGCTTGCCCTAAATGTTTGATGGATCTGGATAGTTTCTAGATACCACTTGGAGACTTTCCCAGCAATCTGAATGGCCGTTCTGTTGGTTGCCTCATCACCCCCTGGAATATGCTAGTGACCGGAGTGATAAATAAGAAAGCTCCTCAGAGATCCCCCCAAGTCCACCAATCCCAGGCAGCTCTTTTACTCTCAGAGTAAATGAAATGAAACAAGGGAAGAAATGCCTGGAATAACTGTGGTGGTAAATGAGAAGGTAATATAATTGGATATGGTCCAAAGTTTAATTGAAGCCTATTCTGTGGCAGTCATGGTATTTCTCTGCTCTTATTGCATCTGCAGAATGTCGTCCAGCTGCACCATTTAGAACGTCCCAGATCCTGTAGGGCATGGGTTATGTGGACAGCCAGGGTGCACCTCTTAAGGGTCTCCATCTACCAGGAAGTGCATTAAGAAAGGGGGTTAACAGTGGGCATTGTTGGTGGGATCTCCTCTCCTATGAGCAGCCTGGTTCCCAAGGCAAGAATGCCCTCCATTCTCATGGCTTTCCAGAAGCTGATGAATACCTGATTCTTCCAGATAGCTTTTTGTTATTGAGTGGTTTGTTTGTTTTGTATTTTATTTATTTATTTTGCCCAGTACGCTTTTGATTTTAATCCTACATCGGCCACCCAGAGTCACAACTGGCAGCTTGGGTGTCCATACAAAATGGTCTTTGGGGACTGATTGTGGAGCCATTGGCACCTATAATGGATTAATGTAATGTATTGCTTATTACTGTTGTTGCTCTAATGTTATTAGCATATGTAAACTGCCTAAAGTCCATCAGTAGTGAAGAAGGGATTTTCCATTAAATAAACAAATTGTTCAACATTCTCATGAATATGCTGGGAACGATATCTTTATGTATTTTGAGTGTGATTTCACTCCCAGCTTTAACTCCGTTACTATCAATTCTAGGAAAGTTCTAGATAAATTAACATTTCTTGATGTCAGCCAAGAGCTATGGTGCTGCTCTGAGCATCTTCTGTGAAGTAAACCAGATAATTACCTAGATGACAAAATGAGAATTTGGCAGGAAGAACACAGTAACAGTGATAAAAGCAAGGAACCAGGAGACCTGGTTATAATCCTTGGCATTATATTCTCAGAGCAAGACTTTACTTACTTAAAGATGAGCACGCATTTATGAACATATACCTGGGAAGAAGTTAGGCTTGCAAGTGTGTGGAGGCCACCATGCAGATTTATAATCCTCCCAAATATCCAAAAGGGGGCTCAATTACAGTATTACCATCTTTTCCTCTGCCTATTTTTGGGATGGCTGGGTTCCTTAAGCATACCTTACTCTGTCTCTCAGATATATTTCCCATAATATACAAGCAGTTACAGGTGCAAGCAGTTACTTTATGTTGGCATAATTGGCAGTCCTGCCCTGAGAAACTCTAGCTCCCAGTGTCATCTCTTATATATAATGGGGATTTCTCTCTGCTTCTTCCGCTTTAGACAAGAAATGCTGACTTCTGGATTCCTCTGAGTGCTATTCAGGAGTTTGTTTGTTTGATTTGTATCTCTCCTTTATTTGTACAACTCAAAGGAGTATACATAATGTTCCTGACTCCTGTTTTCCCCAAAACAACAAATTTTAACAACAATAACAACACTATTTGCAAACAGCTCGATCAGGGTTTCCATAGGAAAACAAAGAGAACCCTGGACTAGAAAACATAGCTGTACCACTGATGTGGAAATCTGAAGGCTGTCATAGTTTTACAAAACCCAAAGCATTGGGCAGAGGCATCCCGAAAACATGGCTGTCCAGTCTTTGCTTGACTACATCAACAAAGGGGGCACAATACCTCCCTTTACTCATTGTTGCACTGCTGCTGTAATCTGGAAGTTTTCTGTAGCTTTCAAGATCTGTTTCCATGATGATCTCACATGGGAGAGAAGGCATGACCCAGGTTAACTGAGAGAAATACAGCAGGTACGGTATGGAAGAGTGGAAGAGGAAGGTATCTGTCTCAGGCTCAAAAAGTAGTGTTGCCACCTGGGAGCCAATTGAAGATTTGGATTCCCTTTTTTGGGTTTAGCAAGCATTGAATGCCCTGGGAATTAGGAACTGGAAGACCAGAGGGTTAGACCTCAGGGCTTCAGCCCAGCTGTATGACCGACTGGCAGGATAACATCGCATGAGCAGCTAAGAGTCAAGTTGCCCAGCAGGTTGGCTGGCCAAGTGATGGAATCCTACAGACCCTTCATCATGGGTTGTGGCCAAAACCTGCCTTGTTGTTCAGCAAAAAGGCTATCTCTCTCTCTCTCTCTCTCTCTCTCTCTCTCTCTCTTTCTAAAAAAAAAAAAAAAAGAGGTTCTTGATGTTACCATCTGGAGCAGCCCAGGTGCCTCACTGCTAATTCCTGGCTTATATGGTAGCCTAAGAAGTTTGTTTTATGATGATCCAGTGGTCTGCATTAAAAAACAGGGGGGGGGGGGGAGGAGGCGACTGCTGTGCTTTTCTTTATCAGCCAGTTTTCTTCACTATTGTCCCATATTGGGATGTCCTCTTCACTTTCATCAAACAGCAATAATGCATATTATTGCAATTATAGCTGGTGTAGCATCCAAACATGAATTGAGTGATGCTTGCATGCAAATCTTAAATGTGGAAGCAGCTTGCATCACCCCCTGCTCATTCCCGGATGTTCTGAATTCCTTAGCCGCAGCTGTCTAGAAACATGAAACGTAATTCTCTTTTCTTTCCCATCTTGCTGCCATGGCCAGCTCAGACTCTGATGATGAGGAGGCTGGCAAAGAGCAGGAGCTGGCGCCTGAGGAAGGGGAGGGCAGGGGGGGGGTGGCCGCGCCGGGTCGCGCCGGGCCAG